ACTATCAGGACTACGGTCAGACCTGCTCTGTTTGAAAGAGTCCTGAGGTGACTGCTAAAAGACCTTGAATGAACATTAAATCTTACAATCAACTTAATGACAAACATAAACTATAAAAGAGAAAAACATAAACAATCATTAACAGGATGAGTGAAGCTTAAAAACTGATTTCTGTTAACTGATCAATAACAGTAAGAATTGCATGTTTTCATGGCTCCATACACTTCAGAGCATGTTGGAGTGGAACCTTCTGTTGGCTGTCTGCTGCCATGTGTGTGTGTGTGTGTGTGTGTGACTGTAAATTATATTTTAATTGACTGTACTGATTAGGGATGTGAATCCCCACCACTGAGGCCGATTCGATACACATCTCGATACGCTGCCAGCGATACGATACATTAACGATACAGTGGAGCCCCCTGCCGATACGATGCGATATGATTCACCTCTGTTCACGATGCGATGCGATTCATTAATGATTTGACAACGATTTGACTTTATACAATGCGAAAAGAAAAAAAAAAATGTATTTGATACTTGACTGTTTTCTATAAAGCAAACCAATAAATCCAACTTAAAAAGAAGATGCAATTCAATATGGTACAGACAGAGAACATTAATAACTAATAATAAACACTAAATCATAAACAAAAACAATTTTTTTCATTACATGTGTTTTTAATTTCATTCTCTACTTATACAACACTAAATGTATTGTATTTGGGGAATTTCTTTTTGGCCTCTTAATAAAAAATAAACAAAACAAACAGTCCTTTTCTCAGGTCCTTTTACTAATAGTGTTCTCTGTCTGTAATTTCACAATGTTTTACAAAACACAATTTGGAAAACATTGTGCAAATAACTTCATCATAGTGCAATGTCCATACTACTGCTGCCAGACTGATGTGCTTGAGCTGACACTCTTCTAGTTGGCTAACTGAGCAGTGAGAGCAGAAATCACTGAGATTCATACGACAATATAACAGTTAAACAAAAATAAACAATTGCAACTGCTTACAAATGTAAGTGTAAAGAACTGACAGCCACAGCAACTGTAAACATCACTCACACTGAGGTATATCAACTAGAGGTCTTTCTTTTCAAAGTGCAAAGTCCACACTGCTCCTGCACTATTGTGTGTCTTCCAAGGTACGCTTAATATCTCCTCTTCACCTGTTGTGTCGCTTCCCTCCATTTTTTCTGTTTACTAACTAACTGGGTCTGTGACGCCGCTCAAAAAGATAGTGATGGTGCGTTCAAGGCGCCTCGAAAACACGGGTGCAGAGGAGATAAACTATGCAATAATCGATGTAACCATGGGTTTTACCGATGCAGACACGCAAAGAAGGATACATTGCGCATTTAGCCGGCAGTTGTTTCCGATGCACACTGAAGCTACCGGTGCACTCGCATCGCAAACGTCTGTCTCGGACCACCGATTCAAATCGGTGAATCTCTCCATCCCTAGTACTGCTAGGACGCTGATCTTCTACCTTTTTTTTTTTTTGTATTGAGTAAGTATTTTTTGGGGCTTTTATTGCCTTTATTTGATAGGACAGCTGAAGACAGACAGGTAAGGGAGAGAGTGGATGACACGCAGCAAAGGATTCAAACCCCGGGCCGCTGCAGCAAGGACTGAACCTCGGTACATGGGTCGCCAGCTCTACCTCCTGAGATAACCGGGCACCCCTGATCTTCTACCTTTAACCAGCTCACTTCTGACACGTTGTTTGCTGATTGCTCTGAGCCACCGTAGATCGCTGAGTAAAGTTAAATACATGTAGACACGCACACACAGACACACACACACAGACACACACACACACACACACACACACACACACACACAACTGCTCGTGGACAACGTGAGAGAGAAGAAAAGAGACTGAAAAGAGGAAAATTGATCATTTCAAGCGGCGAGAGATTTATGTTTTTCTTTTCATGCAGGAACAAGACAGGAGCTGTGTGTGTGTGTGTGTGTGTGTGTGTGTGTGTGTGTGTCACCGTGTATGTGTGTGTCACTGTGTGTGTGTGTGTGTGTGTGTGTGTCACTGTGTCTGTGTGTGTGACGTGCAGTGTGTTAATTGACATGATGTAAAATCCATCAGATTGAACAGATGCTGCTCAGAGATATGATTTCATGTTTGTTTATATTTAACTTTGCTTTTGTCTCTTCACTAACACACACACACACACACACACACACACACACTATACAGCGGCCACAGATCGTGGGACAAAAGGTATTGCCGCGGGCAACCTGTAGCTGTAATCAGATTACTGTCACACACACACAAACGCATGTGCTGCGATGTGAGCGTGAAGAAATGTGATTGGAGCCGGTTTGTCAGAGACAGATAATGGAGAGAGAGAGAGAGACAGAGAGAGAGAGACAGAGAGAGAGAGACAGAGAGAGAGACAGGTTAGGAGGTGTAAAAATGATTGAATCTGTTTCTGTAAACAATACACACACTGCAGTGTGTGTGTGTGTGTGTGTGTGTGTGTCCTCCTTTAGTTTCCTGTCCAGCAGGAAACGTGACGATACTGCAGTTTCACCATCCACACCCTCCCTGTGTGTGTGTGTGTGTGTGTGTGTGTGTTAGAGTGCGTTAGTTACAGTGTGTGCGTTACAGGGTGTGTGATGTATGACTTCGGTCCTGAATCTGGTTCCTGTAAAAAACACCACTATTGTTCTCCGCATCCCTCAGGACACAAACACTGTTGAAAACTGGCTGTGTTGAGTTCAGGTTCACCTCAGTGTTTCTGTGAAGAACACACACACACACACAGTGTGAACTCTGACACCAGCTGGTGGAAATCAGTCTGCTAACTGACCCTCTGCTACTGTCCAGTCTTTGGTGTCACCAAAGTCAGATTGTGGAATTTTTACGGCGTCAGTATAACAGACGGTATACTTTACTTTCAGTCAGTAGATTTTACCTACAGTCGGTAGATTTTACGTACAGTCGATAGATTTTACGTACAGTCGGTAGATTTTACGTACAGTCTGTAGATTTTACCTGCAGTCGGTAGATTTTACCTGCAGTCGGTAGATTTTACCTACAGTCGGTAGATTTTACGTACAGTCTGTAGATTTTACGTACAGTCTGTAGATTTACGTACAATCGGTAGATTTTACGTACAGTCTGTAGATTTTACGTACAGTCGGTAGATTTTACCTACAGCCGGTAGATTTTACGTACAGTCGGTAGATTTTACGTACAGTCTGTAGATTTACGTACAATCGGTAGATTTTACGTACAGTCGGTAGATTTTACCTACAGTCTGTAGATTTTACCTACAGTCGGTAGATTTTACGTACAGTCTGTAGATTTACGTACAGTCGGTAAATTTTATGTACAGTCGGTAGATTTTACCTACAGCCGGTAGATTTTACGTACAGTCGGTAGATTTTACCTACAGTCGGTAGATTTTAAGTACAGTCTAGATTTTACCTGCAGTCGGTAGATTTTACCTACAGTCGGTAGATTTTACGTACAGTCAGTAGATTTTACCTACAGTCGGTAGATTTTACGTACAGTCTGTAGATTTTACCTACAGTCTGTAGATTTACGTACAATCGGTAGTTTTTACCTACAGTCGGTAGATTTTACCTACAGCCGGTAGATTTTACGTACAGTCAGTAGATTTTACGTACAGTCTGTAGATTTACGTACAACCAGTAGATTTTACGTACAGTCGGTAGATTTTACGTACAGTCTGTAGATTTACGTACAATCGGTAGATTTTACCTACAGTCGGTAGATTTTACGTACAGTCGGTAGACTTTACGTACAGTCTGTAGATTTGACCTACAGTCGGTAGATTTTACCTACAGCCGGTAGATTTTACGTACAGTCTGTAGATTTTACCTACAGTCGGTAGATTTTACGTACAGTCGCTAGATTTTACCTACAGTCGCTAGATTTTACGTACAGTCGCTAGATTTTACGTACAGTCTGTAGATTTTACGTACAGTCGGTAGATTTTACGCACAGTCTGTAGATTTTACCTACAGTCGGTAGATTTTACCTACAGTCGGTAGATTTGACCTACAGTCTGTAGATTTTACCTACAGTCGGTAGATTTTACGTACAGTCTGTAGATTTTACGTACAGTCGCTAGATTTTACGTACAGTCTGTAGATTTTACGTACAGTCGCTAGATTTTACGTACAGTCTGTAGATTTTACGTACAGTCGGTAGATTTTACGTACAGTCGGTAGATTTTACCTACAGTCTGTAGATTTTACGTACAGTCTGTAGATTTTACGTACAGTCGGTAGATTTTACGTACAGTCGGTAGATTTTACGTACAGTCGGTAGATTTTACCTACAGTCTGTAGATTTTACGTACAGATATATAGATCAAAGTAATCAGCATTCTGGTCTTCAGTCTGAATCTAAAATCCCTGCCAAAATGAAACTTTGATGAAGCTCCATAATGGACGTCGTCAGGCAGCTTTACATCTCCGTGATAACGAGGATTGTTTATGGGACAACTCGTCCTCTCCTCCGTCACACAGACTTTCGATTTTTCTTTGTCCTTCACGGCACCAACTCTTCTTCTGTCTTTTCTATTATAATCACTTTACAAACAGAGAAAATTCAGATTTTTCATTGCGAACTGCTGATTGTTTCCATTTGTTTTCTGTCTTTGTCCTTTGCTCACATACACAGTTTAGTACCTGCAGACAGTTTAATGTCAGACTGTTGTAAAGTTACAGCCTCTACATACAGAGAGAGTTCATAAAACTGAAGGAGAGAGTGATGGAGGAGAGGCAGAGCTGACCTTTCTGTGCAGCTGAATAATGAACCAACAGATGGAGCAGCTTTATGTGTCGGCTTGTATGTGAATAGAAACCTCCAACAATGTCGCCCCTGAGAACTAAAAGCTTCAACTCTGAAAACTCTTCGTATAGTTTATGACTTTATACCATCAGAAACACACTGTTAGAAAACTACAGCTGATGTTTTCCCTTTCAACCTGTGTGTCTGCAG